TATAATTTAATTTATTATTATATTTCCATCATAATTTTATATATTGTACAATGTGAAAAACATTCACAGAATATAATATAATAATATCAAACTTTTGGAAAATTAGAATACGTATAAACATAAAATATATATTAAAATATGTGCATATGTGAGTTGAATGCGCTGTATATAAATTATAAATAAAATTCCTGAAATCTACGCGAATTATCATCTGAAGAACGTATAGATATTTATGCATACATACTTTATAACAATAATTGATATTAACAATGTTATTATTGACAGCGAATTTTTATTTTTATAAAAAAATGATTTAATTCTTTTGTTTAATAACAATTCTCAATCGAGCAGAATTAATCATGGCTTTAAATGATGGGAAAATATTTGCAATATGGAAAGTAAAATGCGTGATAAATCGTTTTCGAAATTTAAAAGGAATAAAAATGCAAAAGCAATAAAAATTTGAAAGAATTTGGCATGAATCGATTTGTGAGATGAGAAAGTATTTTGAATGGCACGCGGCCTTGACTTTGTCGTTACAATGTACCGAGAGTGTCATAAAGTCTTTTTAGTTAAACTTCTTGCACAGTTCATCTCTTTCTTTTTTTTTTCTCCACATTAAAGAAAAAAAAGAGAAAAAAATCGTGGAAGAAGTTCGATTAAAAGGAATAATCTAGATATAAAATATAAACAAAGGTCGCCGCTCTAGCAAGCGCGCGCCGAATTGTTTACGTGAGGTCATCATGTTATCAGTTACATTCGCAGTTGTACACCGATAGTGGAACGAATAGCAGTGTGAACTGTTCCATATTCCATCGCGTTATTTTTCGAACAGACAATTAGCAACAATTGTAATTTCGCGCGATTAGTTAATTCCTACAATTGACGACTCGGAAGAGTGTCGAAGTGATAATTACTGTATTTTAAATTTTTTATCGATTCGCCAAGTTTTTGTTTCGAAAACATGAAATATACGTAAAATAGACGTATTCGTGATTATATTGTATTTTATTTGTTAATGGCACAACACGAATTCGGCGATATTGGTGATTTATTACAATTTTTCTTCAAAATTCTTTTGTTGCGCTAATTTGAGAAATTTTACGCATGTCGAACGAATTGTACTATCACAATTCTACGCAACTTACTTTCTTCGCGTTGTTTTTCCTTTATAATATAATATCATACATACCGCGAGCGATTAATATCGAAAGTTTAATATATCAGTTCTAATTAACTATGTAAATTTAATTAATCGTATGAAGTTTTTGCTTGAGCATTTTTCGATCATTTATAGAACTTCACACAGTGCCTGTGTTCTGTCTGGAATATATCTCAGATATAAGGTCTGTTCTTTTTTGCTGAATTTTTTGCACAGTTCATTTTTTTCTCTTTTTCTCTTTTCCAATGTGAAAAGAAAAGGAAGAAAAATAAATCATGCAAGAACTTTAGACTAAAAAAAACAGACCTATAATAAAAAGAATAAGGAATAATAAATTTCAGTTTATCTAAAGTCGAATATACCGAAATACACGTTTCTGATAGGTTGAAATCTGTTCCTTGTTTCTTATTCTTTATTCCTTTCATTGTGTCTGAGCTAAAGCTTTAAATATAATAAAAAGGCACAAGCAATAGAACAGGAAATAAGAGATTTCAACTTATCAGAAATCTTGCATTCTAGTATGTACGATTTCTGGTTGAAATCTTTTATTATCTGTTTCTACTACATATGCTTTTCTTTCCCGTTTAATTTTAAAGCGGGGAGCAGACTCTTGCATGATACATAAGAAAATGAATCAAAGTTCTTTACTTCCTTACTTTTTATGAAATAAAGGACTCTAATTCATTTTCTTATGCATTACGCGTTATGTAAGAATCTGTGCCTCCCTGCTTTAATAGCAATTTGTTATCATTACTTTGTTGTCGCGCGTTTTTTATCATGTATTGGGTTGTCTGGAAAGTTCGTGCCGATTTTGAAGGAAAATTGAAACGCAGAAGATTTAAATTTTTAATTTCATTTATTATATTTAAATCTTTTGCGGCACGAACTTTCCGGACAATCCAATATAATACATGCGCAACGACACTATAATTGAGGCTTGCTCTACAATTGTATCGTGAGAAAAAAATTTATCAATCATTCTTACATTTA